GCTCAGAGAGGTAAATTGGGGCAAGGCCATTCAAGGCTTTAAAAGTAAATAAAAGTATTTTAAAATGAATCCTAAAATGGATGGGCAGCCAGTGGAGTGAAGCTAAAATAGGTGAAATGTGCTCGTACTTGCGTGTGCCAGTTAAAAGACGTGCAGCAGCATTTTGAACCAGTTGAAGACGAGCAATTGAGGACACAGCAATCCCCACATAAAGTGCATCTTTTCAACACTTCATCCATCCATCCTTCCACCTTTTCATCCATCCTTTCATTCATCATACATCCATCTTTTCATCCATCCATCTATTAAACCATCCATCCATCTTTTCATCCATCCATCTATTAAACCATCCATCCATCTTTTCATTTATCCATCCATCCACCTTTTCATCCATTCTTCCATCCATCCATCCATCTGCCCATCTTTTCAACCCTTCATCCATCCATCCGTCCATCTGTCTGTCTGTCCGTCCGTCCATCCATCCATCCATCTTTTCAACCCTTCATCCATCCATCCGTCCGTCCGTCCCTCCGTCCATCCATCCATCCATCTTTTTAACCCTTCATCCATCCATCCATCCATCCATCCATCCATCCATCCATCCATCCATCTTTTCAACCCTTCATCCATCCATCCATCCATGGAGCAGGGGCTACCAAACAGAACCCAAACACACAAGCTGAAAAAATAGAAAATCCATAGAAACTCCGGGGCTAAAACAGGATATGAGTGCTGCTAAGAAACGTACAGTAGCTAAGACAATTGCCAACGCGCAGCCTGTCTGCTCACACGTTTACACAAAGGTGGTGGCAGGTTGTTATTCACAGTTTTGTTTACTGTTACCAGTGTAAGAACAGGTCAGAGGTCAGTCTCTGCCCCAACTGGAGGAGTTCAGCTTTCTAAGTTTTGTAGAGGATTGAGGCCATTAGTATGCAGTAATGCAGGCACTACTTTTAAAACAAAAAAATGGATTTGTTTACATTCTGGCTCTCACTTACTATTTAAGATATGGATCATGATTATGGAAACAAGATCCTGGATATAAAAACAGATGGAATGTGTTTCCACTGTAGGATGGCTGGATTCGACTTTAGAGAGTCTGGATGTATGGGTGGATGAATCTGGGCTAATTATGAGAAAGGCAGGTACATCCTGGACCAGACCTAAAAATATAAATACTAATATCAGCAAACCTGATTTTATCTGTCTGTTAATGATGCTAATGTGCATCAACATCTATGTTTTATTTCAATGGAAAACACCTTCCATTGATCAAAAGATAATGGTTTTCTTCACATTGTTCTACCAAACGTTAAACACATGGTAAAACCCGATCTCAAGCTTTAAGATGAAAATTCTGGACTTTGGGGAATTAAAATAAAAATAAATAACCCCATTACCTTATTTCAGGTGCTGTATATTTAATCATCTTATTTTAAGGGTAAAAATACTCATTGCATTGGCAGATCAAAAAATGTACCTGTTCAAATTTACGGTAAATACTCTTTAAGAGGTTTTTATATGTTTTTGGATCAGTATGACCGACCAAAAAGAGAAACTAGCATAAAATATATAAAACAGAAAAGGTAAGAAAGAAATTAATAGTATAATAAAAGTAAACATGTTTTATCCAAAAAAG